GTTGTAAAATAGTATAAAAATCGTTAACAAATATTCAGTGATTTACGATTAATAGAAAAATTAACAGCTCCATGACTAGACAGAATCTGCACCTAGTCACAGGCATTTTGACTGGGCATTGCCAAGTACGGAAGCATCTCCATATCATGGGGCTGTCATAATCCGCACTCTGCAGAGGGTGCGAACAAGAAGATGAGACCATCGAGCATATCCTTTACGATTGCTCGACGCTATCATTTATTATAAGATTTGTGTTCGGCGAGTATCGGCAAACACCGGCCGATATAAGAGAAGCACCTCTTGGCAACGTTGTCAACTACATCAAATCTGTAGGTTGGCTCACGAGCTAGGAAGTGCCTATCATCTTAGCAGGATGCACAATGGGCCTAGTGAGGCCTAAGTGCCATGGGAGTAACCCACCCTCTACGCGTTACAGATAAAAAAAATCTGATTTGTCCAACACATGACTTTGCTGACTAGGTATTATAGTTTGGTGTTTTTCTCTTTATCCGTTCTTAAGTTATCGAGTATACAGAGATACACACATACGCAGAGACACACAAACGAGACACACAGACATCATCGCGAAACTAGTCAAAACAAATTCAGGGGACGACAAAACATAAAAATCCATCGAAAACTCGAGGTCTAAAAAATCATGGTTCCTATACTTTCCTTATCTGTATACAGACAGGAAAGTAAAAAATAGTTGAACACTGCACATTGCAGATTATTTTCTACTCGTAAAAATTGGATTAGAATTTATCTGTTTAATCAATCTATTTCTAGTTTTTTGAGCTCCCAACTAGACATACAAGTATTATAGATTGTTCCAATATTCATTTCAGGAAAATCCTTCAATAAATATCGGTGTCGCATGATGTTCTAATTGCTACTGTAATAACTACCATATAATCCTAAAAGTACACATTACATCCAATATTAGCCAATAGATCTTCATTTTAATACCTATTTGACAGGTTTACAAGTTGTGAAATGATATTTATTATGAAAATGATCGATTAAAATTCGATTAAGCGCTTTGGGATTAATCTAAGGATATACAATATACAAGGCTTACACAACAACGCTTAGTCGACTATATCAGAAATAAATGGCAAGATGTAACTTGTATTTGGAACTTTATTTTTATAGAATGTACAATAATAAAGAGCATTCACAATGAACAACTAGAATGAAGATGTACAGGGTGTTCGATAAGTGCGGTACGTAACTTCAGTAGCGTATTCTGGAGCTAAAATAAAAGGTATTTTTGTCATATACACTATGTCTCAAAAATGCTTCGTTACGGAAATACAGGGCGTGAAAATTTCATAAAAAATACAATTTTTTAAATATTTCCAAAATCACTTGAGATATTTTAATTAAATTTTTGCAGCTTTTGAGAGTTAGCAACGTTGCGTGTTTTACTGTAAATACAGTGGCTTTCGTTTAACTAGTGGTGAGCGGACAAGGTAATAGCTGAAAAATATGAAAGTAAAAACGTGTTACGCCGCTGTTATTTTTCAATACTTAGTTTTTTGATTGTTCGATTTGAAAGAAAAAAGGTCCCTTGACTTTTTTCATAAATAATTACAGAGCCGTTTTAATTTTTTTTATTATTTAACTACAAATATTAATCATATAAATAATCACTTATAACAAAGAATCAAAGCAAATGTTGAAAATAGCCATCTCCTGATAAAACGCACGGTTCTAATCGTCTTCTCATTTATTCTCTTACTCTTTCAAAAACTGCTGGAGTATTTCTTATGGTATTACAACCTTGAATTATTCGATTTCTTAAATCATTTTCATTTAATACTGGTGTCTCATATACGAGTGATTTGAGGTGACCCCATAAATAAAAGTCCAAGGGATTAAGATCGGGACTGCGAGATGGCCAAGCTTGAGGACCTTCGCGTCCAAGCCAGCGATTAGGAAAAGTATTGTCGAGGTATTGGCGAGCAAGAAGGCTAAAATGGGCTGGTGCACCATCGTGCATAAACCATAAATCTCCTCTTACTTATAGAGGCATTTCTTCTAACAGACCATTTAGTTCTTCGTGTAAAAACTGAGTATACGAATCACCATTCAGTCGAGGGGGTAAAAAGTATGGTCTAATAAGATGGTCATCAATAATCCCTATCCATACATTTAGTGAAAATGTTTGCTGAAAGCGACCTTCTCTTATTGCACGAGGATTCTCCTCAGCCCATAAATGTTCATTATTTATTTATTTATTTATTTATTTATTTATTTATTTATTTATTTATTTATTTATTTATTTATTTATTTATTTATTTATTTATTTATTTATTTATTTATTTATTTATTTATTTATTTATTTATTTATTTATTTATTTATTTATTTATTTATTTATTTATTTATTTATTTATTTATTTAATACATCCAACAGGCTTTATCAGCCTAATTACAGGAGTATATAATATAATATTTAAAAATACAAAGTTTGAGAATACTTACTTAACTAAATTACATTCTAATTACCTAATTTGATACCAATCTGTAACATTGCTCTCTAAATTGGTAAAATTTTAGAAAAAATATATCAACAGAATACTGATTAACACTTCTACACATTGTAGTTAAAGGACTGTGAAAGTGATGTTGTGAATTTGGCACTTGAATATGAAATGTTATATTTGACCTTGATGTAATACGTGGGATATGAAAATTAAATTGAGATAGCAGAGAAGATGAATCTATAGAATTATTAATTAATTTATAGATGAATATCAAATCTGCTATTTCTCTTCTTTTTCTCAGACTCACAAAACTGAATTCTTCTAACAATAAATTATAATCATAGTGACGAATAGGATAACGGCCATGTGTTTTAAAGTAAATAAATTTTAAAAATTTTCTTTGAACAGATTCTAATGCACTTATGTACTTTAAATGGTTAGTATTCCAAACACAACTGCAATACTCCAGTTTGCTACGAACTAGTGAAAAATAAACAGAGAAGATGGCTTCTAAAGATTTAAACTTTTTACAGTTTCTAATAACAAAACCCAAGATTTTTGTTGCACTTTGCACAGAATTTTCAATGTGTTCCGAAAAAGTCAGTTTGCTGTCAAATAAGATAGGTACCTAAATCTTTGTAATTATATATCCGGGGAATAACAAGATTATCTAATTGATAGTCGTATAAGACAGTGTTTACTTTCCTGGAAAAGGACAGGACTTTGCATTTGTTAGTATTCAAAGATAGTTTATTTACGATACACCAGTTATGTAAGTTTACAAGGTCGTTTTGAAGAGCAATGCAATCTGAGGTATCCTTTATTTCCCTATAAATTTTCATATCGTCTGCAAACAAGAGTTTCTTAGAGTTGATACAATGACAGATGTCATTAATAAAAATAACAAATAATAAAGGGCCCAAATTCGAGCCCTGAGGAACCCCTGACGTTGACACGAAATTAAAATATTTTGGCACTTCAGGAGCAATTGTTTGTGAGACACCTTATCAAACGCTTTACTAAAATCTGTGTATGCGACGTCAACTTGATTTCTACAATCTAAAGAACTAGATATGTATTGCGTAAATGTACACAGATTTGACGCGGTACTTCTGAGCTTCACAAAACCATGTTGGTATTCCGTGATTGAATTTTTTACGTGGGAATATAATATATTAGAAAATATAATTTCAAAAATTTTGGAAAAAACTGAGATTAATGCGATTGGTCTGTAATTTGATATATCAGAAACTTTACCAGCTTTGAAAACGGGACAGATTCTAGATATTTTCCAAATGTCTGGATAGACCTCTTCTTGTAGTATACGATTAAATATGCAAAAGAGTGGTACTGA